CTTGGTTTACCCCTGGAGGAAGACCCCCATGGAGAGCCATTCAGTTGGGATTTCCTGGTTTAGCTGCTCACAGGGATATTCTTGCCGTTGCTGAGGGAATATTAAGAGGAGTGGTGGTTCTCATGAAGCTTTTCCTTGATTTGAGTCTATTGGGAGGAGGCTGGTAGCCATGCAGTGGGTGGCTTTCACAGTGTTCAACCTTATTTCTCTTACATTTAGCAGCAATGAAGATAGTCTTTCCTTCTGTCTATTTAGACTTCCAATCTGTTCAGGTAGTTTTGAAAAGCAGTCTTTAGTCTTAGTTACTAATTATATTCATATTGCACTGAAGTGACTCAATGCAAGTATAATTCATCTTAATGGAGCTTGACTTGGCAAGACTCACAAATTAATTAACTGGTTAGTTAGTTAATTAGTTAATATATACCCCACATTTTTTCTCAGGATTAGGATTTAAGTCATTTCACAACATGATTTAAAAATACATACAATCAAAAACACAATAAATTCATATTAAAATACAATTAACCAGATTATCATATTAAAATAACACCCCAATTTTTAAAAAACCCTTTCATCAATGTTGCTTCCATGCTGAAAGAAAGGGAGGAAGCCGGGTGGTGACACTTCACCCCATGGCATGGGGGTCAAGGTAAGATGGGAGGTATCAAGCAATGGATTCTCCACATCCCCTGGCCAGGACCTCATGAATTTGCTATGATGTGTGGTGAATCCATGCACCTTTGTGATGAGGTCCTTAGGGATTTCTGGACAGAACACCTCTGAAGAAATGTCTAGGTCAGGGGTTCTCAAACTTTTTTAAGTGGAGGGCCAGTTCACAGTCCCTCAGACTTTTGGGGGGGGGGGGCAGACTATAGTTTAAAAAAATTGCATATCTTATTTGTAGTGCAATTTTTTTTGAAGAATAATACAATATTTAAAATGAAGAACATTTTTTAGCCAACATAAACCGGCCAGTATTTCAATGGGAAGTGTGGGCCTGCTTTTGGCTGATGAGATAGTCAACTTCGCTAGGATAGTTTTTGTTGTGTGCCTTCAAGTCATTTCAGACTTAGGATGGCCCTAAGTTTAAAGATTCGGGTGGGGGTCGGGCACATGTCCTTTGAGGGCTGCATTCAGCCCACGGGCCTTCGTTTGTGTTGAAGATCCAGGACTAGGGGTGGTTCTAGACAGCCCCTTTATTGCAGAAACTTCTGCAATAAAAAGGGGGCTGTCCAGACAATGTTCTGGACAATCCCGAATTAATTTGCCAAAAAACAAGGAAAACCCTGGAAGCCCTACCCCCTCCTCCAAAGCCCTCAAACCCCTTTGAAAAGCAAAGAAAGCTTACCCAGCCTCCAGTACTGTGTTGCAGCAGCTCTCATGTAGAAATGACACGCCAGGAAAACGGGGGGAGGAAAATAGCTCCTCCCCCTGGCTCTCCTGGCACGTAATTTGAACGTGCCAGGAGAGCTGCTGCAACATTGTACTGGAGGCCAGGTAAGTTTTCTTTACTTTTCAAAGGGGTTTGAGGGCTTTGGAGGAGGGGGTAAGACTTCCAGATGTTCTTGCGAGCCAGTTCCATGAGAGCATCTGGATACCCACCCCAGAAAATGCATGCTTTCTGGAGTGGGTGTGGACAGGCCCCCAGGAACATCCGCGTTTTTAGAACGTGGATGGTCCTGGGATAACTGTCTGGAAGCACCATCGATCTTCAAATGAGATTTCATTGTCAGCTTTCAGTGGATGTTAGCATGGATGACCTAGAAATTCCTAGAAAAAATGTTTCTCAGGTTAAAAAATTAGCAATTTTGTGTTTTTTTCCATGAGGGTTGTGTGCCCCTAACCCTAGTGAATGTGTGGGGGGTGTGACTATACAACTTTGGAGCAGCCACAAAAAAAGTCTTTGCTGCATGTCTGCTTTGGGGAACAGGCAGCCCAGGTGATGTATGTATATGTGTGTGTGTCAGAAGTGACTTGAGAAACTGCATGTTGCTTCTGGTGTGAGAAAATTGGCTGTCTGCAAGGATGTTGCCCAGGGAATGCCTGGTTGTTTTACAGTCTTGTGGGAGGCTTCTCTCATGTCCTGCATGGGAAACTGGAGCTGACAGGTGGGAGCTCACCCTATCTTGTGTATTTGAACCACTAACCTTCAAGTCAGCAGTTCAGTTGGCACAAGAGTTTAACCCATTGCATCACTGCGGCTCTTGAATGGCCACTGTGGTGTTTTGAAGATGGGCCAGCATAAGAGTACTTCTGAGCTGCAAGCATTGATTCTGCCATGCTTCTAATAAAAGGAAAATATCCCCTGAAACAATTCTAAACACAATGACAACCTCAAGGCAGTGTGAGCTTCCCACACTCCTCTCGCTACTAGTTTCTTTCCGCTTTCAACTTGTTCTCTGGTGTAACAGCTATGTGATTTACTCCACATGATCACACCCACCTCTTTGCCAGAATTTAGGTCTTATTAACAAGAACATTTGAGTCATAATGGCATACCGCCTCGATCCCTACACTGAAATGACTTGAGACTCAAGGTGTGCTTTGAGAGACTAGAGGAGGGAGGGTGGAAATATTGAAAAGAGAAGGTGGAGAGCCATCTCTCCCACATGATGTCTGCTAGAAGGCTCCTACTGTATACACCCGGTGCATATGCTATAAATAATTTTGTATTGGCGCCTGATTTAGTGATAATTAATACTCAAGCTTCAAGGAGAAAATCACCTGGATGGATTTAAAAGTTCCCAAGAGAGAAACAGGCAATCCAAACCTTCAGGCATCGTTCAGCAGGTGTATTTTGAAAGGAGAGGGGCAAAATGTATTTTTATTATTCGGTTCTATTATATTCAATTTATATCACTATGCATAAAATATGAAATACTGTTTTTGGTTAAATCATGTCCTGTTCTATGCTTTCAAAAACAGCTCCAGGGACATTAACCACAGTTTGAAACAATGAAATCCAATCTTTTTTTTAATGTAATGAAATTGGTTACATTTGAAAATAAAAGTGGCAAAAATAACAGCTAAAATTCCTATTAGCAATCTATCTATATATATATAAATGCTCTGTGCATAATGAGTACCTTAAAAACAAAAGAACCAATGAACGAAATCACACCAAATTTGACAACAAAACGTCTCACAACACAAGGAGTGACCATCACTCAAAAATTATGCTTTTGTCACTTGGGAGTTGTAGTTGCTGGGATTTATAGTTCACCTACAATCAAAGAGCATTCTGAACTCCATCAGCGATAGAATTGAACCAAACTTGGCACACAGAACTCCCATGACCAACAGAAAATACTGGAAGGGTTTGGTGGGCATTGACCTTGAGTTTGGGAGTTGTAGTTCACCTACATCCAGAGAGCACCATGGACTCAAACAATGATGGATCTGGACCAAACTTGGCACAAGCACTCAATACTCCCAAATATGGAGTTTGGGGAAAATAGACCTTGACATTTGGGAGTTGTAGTCACTGGGATTCACAGTTCACCTACAATCAAAAAGCATTCTGAACCCCACAAATGACAGAATCTGGGCAAACTTCCCACACTTTACCCCCATGACCAACAGAAAACACTTAGGGCCATCCAATCCAACTCCCTTCATCAGGGCAAGAAAACGTAATCAAAGTCCTCCTGACAAAGAGCCATCCAGCCATAGATATAGATAGATAGATATGATTCACACGCTCACAGATAGTATCACAGATTTGAAAGGGACCCTTAAAGAAGGACAATGGTATGTTGCATGTTCCAGGGTGGACAAACCAGACACTCTCCACATCAACACTGACAAAGAAACAGCAAGAAATACTGTTTACCCCCAAGCATAAAGAAATTACATATATTAAAAACCAACACCTTCTCATTACTTTATTTTCCAGATCAACAGACTGGGCCACAGCAGTGCATGGCAGGGGACAGCTAGTGTTTAATAAAATATCATTTATGAGAATAAGACTCCTTCCTGTCTGCATTCAAACTATCAGATCTTCCAAAACCCAAACTGGATCTGACTTCCTCAGAGATTGGACAAGTTATATTTTTGGGACTATATCTCCTAGAATCTGGAAGTAGTGGTCCAAAGAGTATTTTTTCCCAAGCTCTGAAGTTCCTGAATGTTCCATATCTGTTTCCCCAGATGTGCAAGCTGTAGTAAGAAAGATGACGCTAGGTTTAAAATATGGTTTCAGATCCCAGATTGTTCTGAAATCTTAGTGCCCTTCCACACCCAGAGTATCAAGGCAGAAAACCCCCCAATATCTGCTTTGAACTGGGTTATCTGAGTCCACACTGCGTATATTCCAGTTCAAAGCAGAAAATGTGGGATTTTATTCAGCTGTGTGGAAGGGGCCTCTGTTTAAATGAACTAGATTTATCTCATTGTTAGTCCTCATAACAAATTGTAGCAATGCAAAACTAAGTGCTTCTAATTGCCTCCTGTAGAATGTAAAGAAAGAGCGAAAGAATTACTAGAGTCCAAAGAAAGTGACTTTACTGTTTGCCCTGTAAGCCTCGCCCTCTTGTTTTGTTATTCAAATTGTAAAAAAAATGTAATTTCAGGTTAAATTGCCTGTGATATTCCATTGCTCTAGTACAGTCAATGACCATGGATCAAGGTCCTGTTGTCTATCATAGAGTAACCTCTCTGTCTTGCTTGTTATGACTGGTGAATGATTGTTGTTGTTCATTCGTTCAGTCGTCTCCGACTCTTCGTGACCTCATGGACCAGCCCACGCCAGAGCTCCCTGTCGGCCGTTACCACCCCCAGCTCCCTCAAGGTCAGTCCAGTCACTTCAAGGATGCCATCCATCCATCTTGCCCTTGGTCGGCCCCTCTTCCTTTTGCCTTCCACTTTCCCCAGCATAATTGTCTTCTCTAGGCTTTCCTGTCTCCTCATGATGTGGCCAAAGTACTTCAACTGGTGAATGATTAGCCTGAGTAAATATGCGAAATTAATCATTTCATTATTCCCCTTTTTTGTAGTATGATGACAAACCCTACTGCACTCATTGTTATCTTCAACGCTTTGGACCAAGAGGTAAATCCCTATTTTGAAAACCCATTGTTCCGTAATGGCACAAAACAGTTTGGACTGGGACCCTGGGTGACTGAGGGAATTTCTGAACTTTTCTAGATTTTTGCCTGTATTTTTAATTATTTCCTGACAATTTAATGTATGCTGTTGTGAACTCGATAAAAATCAGTTGAGTATCCATTATCTGAAGTGCTTGGGACCAGATGTGTTTTGGATTTGGAAAATTGGGGGGAAGGGGGATTTTGTTGTTTTGGAGATTTTTGAATATCTGTATTTGCATTATATGTACACAATAAGATCACTTGGAGATGGGAAACAAGTCTAAAATTCAGTTATATTTCATATGCATCTTGTACACATAGATTGAAGGTAATTGTATCCAATATTTTTAATAATTTTGTGCACAAAACAAAGTTTGTGTATGTTGAAACATCATCAAGCAAAGGTGCCACTACCTCATCCACCCACCTGGACAATTGGTTTTGAAGGTATTTTGGATTTAGGAATTATGGATAGGGTATGTTCAACCTGAATGTCCAAAAGAGGACTTCAGCTGTGCGGTGCTTATGGTCATAATACAAATGCCCACTGCTCTTTGTGTTATTTGCCCTGTGTTCTCCAGAATTATTTCTCTAACTACAACCACCCAGAAATTATTTTAATGTCTGATATTTATTAATGGCTAAAATAAAAAAGGTGGAATGTAATGTTTTGCCTATACAATTCTGTGTGCACACCTTATGGATGAGAATAACAAACTATACTCTAATGAGTGTCTGATTACAGGGAAGGACATTACATGCACAAGAATGTGCATTTACACATGTATCAATATCTAATGTGCAGTTTTGTGGAGTGTTGTGAGTACGTGTGATTCCATCCTCCTCTCCTGCATACTCATTGAACAAGTTGCAGGGCACATGTCCACATTGTGTTGAATGAGTTGTTGTAAGTTGATTGTTTTCATGTCAGTGAGATGACAAATCTGCTCTGGCTTTTAGTGTGAAATTTCAAGGAGCCAACCAAGATGCTGAATCTATTTGGGAAGGCATACAGGGAGCACACAACTCCTATGTTACATCAGCTCCACTGGCTGCCTGTTTGCTACCGGGCACAATTCAAAGTGCTGACTTTGGTCTATGAAGCCCTAAACGGCCCTGGCCCAGTTTACCTATCTGAATGCATCTCCATTATGAACCACTGTGAAGACTAAGATCTTCTGGAGAGGCCCTGCTCTTGGTCCCACCACCATCACAGGCACGTTTGGCAGGGATGAGAGACAGGGCCTTCTCAGTGGTGGCCCCTCGACTCTGGAACTCCCTCCCTAGTGAGATTAGATCAGCCCTGTCCTTTCTGTCCTTCAGAAGGATGGCGAAGACCTGGCTTTGGGACCAAGCCTTTGAGCCAATAATAGAATGGTGTCCTGAGATGGTTTTTAAGCATCTGGTTTTAAAGTGGATATAAATGATTTTAATGTTTGTATATATTTATGTTTTTATGTCCTGGCATTGAATGTTTGCCATATATATGTTGTTCTCTGCCCTGAGTCCCCTGTGGGGTGAGAAGGGCAGAATATAAATGTTTTAAATAAATAAATAAGATTAAGGTTCAGAATCTGGGATTTGCTCCTTTAAAATTCAGAGTAAAACTCAGAACCTGATTGACATGGTAGCCATCAACTGCGATGATGATAGTGAACCACTAGACTTTCCAGCCAGGACAATTATTCCATTTAAGAAATATCCACAGACTAGATCAGAGACAGGGTAAGAATGAGGACAGTTGAATCAGTGATGTGCCTGTAATGAGTTACTTGGTTTTCCTGAAGTAACAAATTCCTTAAATAATGAGGGCATTTTGTGGACATATTCAGGCATCTTGGCTGTTATTTCCCCATCTCAGCTGGAAAGAATGCTTGTACAGATGAATTGCACCATCAGCCTTTAACTATCCTGACTTGACAGCACTTCTTTTCAGGGGTCCATTGGGTTTAATATGTGGTTGTAACTCTGCCATGGCGTCTTTTTGCTTCAGCAAAAGTTCTGCATATGGAAAAGAATAAGGCAGAGGGGAGAGAAATCCCTCTTCAGTTCACAGGAGCAAGGAAAGATGCTGCGGTTTTACTTGCGTCAGCTTGGAGAGCCTTCCTCCTGTACCTGGCATCTGGCATGAAGGGGCGAGGAAAGGTGAAAATGAAGGAGATACTAATTCCCTTTTCTTTGTACATGGCGGACCCTGTTGCCATTTAGTCAGCAAGCCTTTCTTAGCTCTGGCCAAGTGGAACATCATGCCATATGTTGCTCTCCAACTATGCCAACTTAAAAGCACAGTGATTTCTCGAGGATGTTGGAAGAAAGTCCAGTGAGATTTCTTATACTTTTCAGCATCCATTTTGTGTATGGGCATAGGATGATATCCCAGTGGGGTACATTGCACCATATGTAGCACATACATTTAAAAACCTGGCAACCCTCTTTAGGAACACATTCCCTGCTTCTTACAAAGAATTGAAATTGGCATTCAGTCATTGAAATGAAAGTACAATGGAGCTGATAAAATCAGCATGGAAAGGTCTGGAATAAGTTTTATTTTATCATATTGCATTAGGATTACCTTGAGAAGTACTCAAATGCAGAGCCACGATAGTCGGTATCAACATACAAAGGAATCTTGTAGCAACCTTGAAATTAGCAGAAAGAATAAAGTCTGTAGCATAAGCAGATTTGTGGTGCATCTATGGTGTGAAATGAATGCAGTGCAGACACCACTTTCACTTCCATGACTTAATACTATGGAATCCTGGAATGTATAGTTTGGTGAGTCACCATCACTCTTTAGCAGAAAAAACTATAGTCCTTGTAAAACTACTGATTCCATCGCATCAAGCCATATCAGTTAAAGTAGTGCCCAATAGCATTCATTCTACAGTGCAGAACCAGCCATACTTTACTTCATAAGGAGCCCCCGGTGATGCAGTGGGTGAAACCCTTGTGCTGGCAGGACTCATGACTGACAGATTGGAGGTTCAAATCTGGGGAGAGCACAGATGAGCTCCCTCTGTCAGCTCCAGCTCCCCGTGCAGATACATGAGTGAAGCTTCCCACAAGGATGGTAAAACATCAAAACATTTGGGTCAGTGGTTCAAATCCACAAGACAGGGTGAGCTTCCAACTGTCAGCTCCAGTTTCCCATGCGGGGCATGAGAGAAGCCTCCCACAGGATGGTAAAACATCCAGGCATTCCCTGGGCAACATCCTTGCAGATGGCTAATTCTCTCACACCAGAACAGACTTGCAGTTTCTCAAGTTGCTCCTGACACACACACAAACAACTTGACTTCATCAGATTTTATTTATTTGTCGTGTCAGGGCAACCAGTCAATTGTATTACATTTCTAATAGAGCAAAACAAACAAACAGACAAAATACAAAATTTGTGAGTTTGGTAGTTGACCAGTAGCTGGCCACCTGGAGTGCTTCTGGTGTTGCTGCAAGAAGGTCCTCCATTGTGCATGTGGCAGGGCTCAGGGTGCATTGCAGCAGGTGGTCAGTGTTTTGCTCTTCTCCACACTCGCATGTCGTGGATTCCACTTCGTGGCCCCATTTCTTAAGGTTGGCTCTGGATCTTGTGGTGCCAGAGCATAGTCTGTTCAGTGCCTTCCAAGTCACCCAGTCTTCTGTGTGCCCAGGGGAGAGTCTCTCATTTGGTATCAGCCATTGGTTTGAGCCTGCCACTTTTGGACTCTCGCTTGCTGAGGTGTTCCAGTGAGTGTCTCTATAGATCTTAGAAAACTATTTCTAGATTTAAGTCATTGACGTGCTGGCTGATACCCAAACAGGGAATGAGCTGGAGATTTAATCAGATACATCTGATTAAATAGACAGTGTTATTAAACCTTATGCAACAGACTCCTTTTTCCCCACAGTGGTTCTCAACCTGTGGGTCCCCAGGTGTTTTGACCTACAACTCCCAGAAATCCCAGCCAGTTTACCAGCTGTTAGGATTTCTGGGAGTTGAAGGCCAAAACATCTGGGGACCCACAGGTTGAGAACCACAGCTCTAAGGTAATTCCTTTGTACTGGGAATTAATGATATTGTTTGTGATGATAGTAACCTGAAAAAACCCTTTACATTCAAGGTTCCTACATGAGTCAACTGAATATTTGGATATCTAAATAAGTACTATTGTTATTTGTCATCAATTTGTCTTTGATTTACATCAACCTTATAAAAGAGATGTCCAGGAGCCGCAGTCGTCAGCAGCCATGCTCAAGCCTTGCAAACTCAGGGCTCTGGCTTCCTTTACTGAATTAATCAATCTGCACTGTGGTCTTATTCTTTTCCTTGTGTCTCCCTCTCTACTGAGCACTAGCATCTTTCCTAATAGCTGAATTAGCATGTGCATTCTTCCTGGCCTTGACTGTGATCATGTGTACAACGTCAAGGCTTATTTATTTGTCAATAGTGATTTCCAAGACAGTTGTCTGATGTTATGTGTGTTAATTCCAGAGATTTTTTTTGTCATTACTTTTTAGTCTTTAGTCCTTCCAATCCTGAGTAATCATGATCCTGCACTGAAGCCTGAATCACACCTATTACCATGCAAACATCTTAAATTCCCATTAAATGAGTAAATATTGATATGACTTCCAGGCATAGAAGGGCAAACATCCCTTCTCAAAACTTGCCCTTTATTGTAAGACTTTGGAAGGTCCCCTCCCCACCCCATCCTTGTGACTTATTGTACCAAATTCAAAGAACAGAGAATTGAAATTACAGACTTTCACCCTTCATAACCTTGTCTTCCATCACACTCTGTTGTTCCTATGTTTTAGATCTTATTCCTTTTGGGTGTATATAGTCAACTGATGGTGCTGCATTTATAATAATAGCAACATGATTAATTATAAACTATTGAAATTTGAGAAGTCTTCTTCCTCTTCCTCCTCCTCCACCAGCACCACCACCTCCTCCTCCACCACCACCACCACCACCACCACCACCACCTCCTCATAAAACCCAACTGGAGTGAATTTGGGGAGGTGGGGGGAAGTGGGGTCACCTAGATACTTCTACATCAGTGGTTCTCAACCTTCCTAATGCTGCAACCCCTTAATACAGTTCTTCATGTTGTGGTGACCCCCAACCATGAAATTATTTATGTTGTTACTTCATAACAGTAATTTTGCTACTGTTATTAATCATAATGTAAATATCTGATATGCAGAATGTATTTTCACTCGCTGGACCAAATTAGGCACAAATACCCAATACATCCAAATTTGAATACTGGTGGGGTTGGAGTGGGATTGGTTTTGTCATTTGGGAATTGTAGTTGGTGGGATTTATAGTTCACCTACAATCAAAGAGCATTCTGAACCTCACCAACGATAGAATTGGGCCAGACTTCCAACACAGAACCCCCATAACCAACAGAAAATACTGTGTTTTCAGATGGACTTGTGACCGCGCTGACATCCCCTTGCGACCAATCCCCAGGTTGAGAAATACTGTTCTACATGAACTTAATAGGAAACTCCAATAGTTGTCTTTGCTGGGCCAATGGAATGCCCCTCTAATTTACTAGGCAAACTCCTTCCAACCTCTTATCCTCATGCCTCTTCCTAGATCACATAAGTACATAACTGCTCAAAACAGTCATTTCTACTTATGGAATTTCTGTTTCTCCTCTTTCCTTGCTGTGTTGACATGAAGACCTTGTAGAATTTTGCCCTTTTTAATGCAGTTGTTAGCAACTGTCGAGTATTTCTTAAACCATCACCATCATTACCATTATGACCACTATCATCACCAAGATGTCACTAGGAACAGAATCTACCACTTTGCATGCTGATTTTAAACAATATTCATGCTGATAAATGAATCAGGTAATGATAAGGGTCAGGACCTATAAACCGTACAGGTAGGCACCAGATCTTAGAAGCTAAGCAGGATCAACCCTGGCTAATACTTTGTTGAGGAACTGCCAAAGAGTACGAGTCATTGTAGGCTGCATTTCAGAGGAACAAAGTGGCAAAACAACCTTTGACGATTCCATAATAATAATAATAATAATAATAATAATAATAATAATAATAATAACAACTTTATTTTTCTACCCCGCCACCATCTCCCTGAAGGGACTCGGGGTGGCTTACAAGGGGTGAGCCTGAAAATACAAAAAAAACAACCAATAAAATGAAACAAAATATAAACAACATCAGAAAAACATTACATCACTGTGCACATTTTAAAAACAGTATAATGGCTGAAAGACTAAGTGCTGAGTGTGGAGGGATCAGGAAATGTGCAATTGTTCCTAGATAGGGCCCAGGGAAAGTGCAAAATGTGTTTCAGTTCAATTCAGGTCACGGATGGGAGGGTAATGCCCTTGGGCATTTACAGTAACAGGATTTCTAGTGGGAGGGGCAACGAAAGTGCGAAGGGCTATGGTGCAATCAATCCAATTCTCTGGTTATTGCCTAATGAAATGCACAACAGAACAACCAGGTTTTTACCAAGGAAAAATACTATAAAGTTCACCATAAGTCAACAGGAGAGCATAGATCCCTTCCACACAGCCATAGCCCATAATATCTGTTTTGAACTAGGTTATCTGAGTCCACAGTGCCATATATTCCAGATCAAAGCAGATAATGTGGGATTTTATTCGGCTATGTGGAAGGACCCTTAATCTCACAAACACATAATGGTTATGATTATGCATTTTCCAAATCCTCAAAATGCTTTGCATACCTTCTATCAAAAAAAATTCTGTGTCATCCTTGAAAAATAAATATACCAACTTGGCCAAGGAGAGGTGACTAGTTTGCTTTAGTGTGAGTTCAATAGATATGTGACGGTGGGCAGATGAACAAAACCCTGCACCTCCCTTCCTCTCCATACAGCCAACCCCTCATCCCCATACTTGTAAACAAAGTCATTGCAATGTGAGTCCCCCTACTGCTCTCCTTCCATTTTATTGACTGCCAAGAGCAATGGAGAGAAGTTGTAACAAAGTGGCATCATATGTTTTAACTAACTAATATTTACCCAGGGAGAAACCAGGAGCAAGCCAGCATTTGGCAACAGTCAAAAATTGCCCCAAAATATCTATTTTCAGCTTTCTGGCTACTTATTGGTATAATGAGTAACATTTTCCAGCATCAGCACAATCTCCTGCTGTCCATTATAGGTATATTAAGTGGGGATCACGTTGCCCAACCACAGCATGTGTGTCAAACAGTATAAATAATATGAGAGCTTATGTTCATTCTGGTTTCTCGTGAGAGAAAGAAGTTCAGTTGAGTCCAGGTTTTAATTGAACAGTTTGGCAAAGCTTCAGCAGAACTCGGGGCAGGTTTAATTTCCTGGCAAGAGAAATCTTTGATAAGGATTTCAAAGGAAATATTGTAGATTAAGTTTCTGCAGCATGTTTTACAGTACAAATCTATGTTTTAATTACCCACCTCTTGAATATTGGATGTGAAATACTTCTTCTGGTTATATATAGCATTTTACGAAACATCCTAACATTTAAAAATCTATTTTAAAGGAACAAGACCTTCAACATCTCGCTCAGCTGTTGGTGCATCTTCTTCAAAGGTTCTAGCAGAAATCCGGAAAGCCTCCTAGATGTCCATCTTTTGTTACATGGAGGAAGAGCATTGCATGAAACAATATTTAAAGTATACATTTTAATTATTTCACTTCATAAATGGTGTCTGGCTCCATGACTGCTGAATCGGAGCCACCTGAAAATTATGGATAATTTTCTGGAAATGTGAGATAGCAGTGAATCCTATATTTACCACATATTACAGTTATGGTTTTATATTGGAAAATGTGTCTATTTTAGGAAGAAAGAAAACATATTTTGCTATTTGATTTTGGTATGTAAAAGGAACAACAGAGCTAGAAGGTGTAGAATGAATTGTAAACTTATTAATGGTGTGGAAATTCACATTTGTAAAAGTGTGTAGATAACACAGGACTTCAGTAGAAACAGTACAGTTTACAAGTTAGTTGAAACAGACTTCATAGACTATTAGACTGTCAGAACAGAGAGATGCTTTAGGCTATGGACTGTTGATTCTAAGAAAGAAGCCCTTTGTTATCTACACAGAGAAACTACTTCAAATTCTATCTGTAACTGGATTAATAAGCAATGTACCTGTATGCTGAATACATGAAGTTTGTGAGTAAACCAACTATGTCACTTTTAAAGAAGTCTACTTATTTTTGGTCTCTTGAGAGCATGATTTAAGGGCAATATATTTTAAGGTAGAGTAGATTTTTTTTGGACAACTGAAATCACACTTCTGAAACTCTGCTCTGTGTGTGTGCACGTGCATTGGCATATCGTTGTCCCTAACAATTCGAAGAGATATCTAGGTATATCAGTTTAACAGCTGAGAAACCTAATTACCTTGCATGAATACTAGTGGAGATTTATCACTAAGGAGTAGGTTGATTCTTCTCAAGGAGATTCCTGATTTTCCCACATGGTAATGAATGCCAATTCTCCCAAAGGTTATGGCATCATTTTTCCAAAATGTTAAGATTTTTAACAAATGCATGCCTTTCCAAAGATCATACTTTCTCCAAAAGCTTATGGAGATTTCCATTTTCCCAAAACTTGCTCATTCAGTGATTGCTGACAATATGCAATAAATCTCTGGTGAACACCTTAATTTTGTAATCTCTTGTCTTTTATTCAACACCATGTAATACAATCCTGTAGTGCAAGCTGTAAAATCCAACAGTTTAGATTACTTTAAAGGGGGTTAGACAACTTCATAGAAGCTAAGGTTATCAACAACTAACTAGTTATCGGAACTGAATTCTACCTCTAGCATTAGAAGCATATTGATGCTGGATGCTTGTGGGTGAAAAATACAAGTGGGAAGAATTAATGTCTCCTCATGTCTTGCTCACAAGCTTCCTGAAAGCATTTGGGGGGGGGGGGTGCCCTCTCGGAAAAGAGTCCAAACCATGTATAGTTTTCAAAAATGGTACATTTTTCAACAACTTTACCACATCCAGGAGGAAAATGATAGCACTTTTTGTTCTTGGCTGCAAGAGCAAAATTTATGAAAATATACATCTGTTGTCATGACATAAGTACAGGTCAACAATGTATCATATAGTAAATGTAGTGGAAATGGACTTCCTTGCCTGCAGAACAGCCTGCAAATCAGTATGTGTGACCAAAGAAATATTTTTTATCTTATCAGGTAATATATACAGTGTTATCTGCACAGCCAAGCTTAGCTAGTATGGTACAGCCACACATCCTATAATGAGATCAGCTAGAGACATACATATGCATATACCAGCCATCAAAGCTCCTGTGAGACAGTTTAGCTCCTCTGGAAAAAATATTGATTACTCTAACTCAGAGCTTTCCAAACTGTGTGTTGCGACACATTAGTGTGTTGCCTGCAATATGTAGGTGTGTTACATAAACATAATAAAAAAAACCTCTGAGTCTATGTGCACTAAGAAATAAATCACACACACACACACATATAAAATAATTTTATGAGATGTGCAATGCTTCCATATATTCCATTATTATCATTCATGTGTGTATGTGTATGTGTGTGTGTAATTTATTTCTTAGTGCACATAGACTTAGAGGTTTTCCATTATGTTTGTGTAACACACCTACACATTGCAGGGAACACACTAATTTGTTGCCACACACAGTTTGGACGACTCTGAGTTAAAGTAATCATTTTTTCCCCCAGAAGGTCTGTATCTCTTATAAAGGATTGGTTTATCCTCTGGTTTGTGAGTAAAATTGAATGACTGTGTTGCAAAATGATGCGTGTCCAACAAGGGTGTCACCGACATGAAATATTTGGAAAGCCCTGCTTTAACTTGAGAAAACCACTTTTGAATCTGACAATATTAATGGGAATTAGAGAAAGCAAGCCTACACTCAGGGCTTGTGTATCCTGACCCCAAAACTTAAAGTGGATCAAAAGTCACTTCTGGGTGTCCTGAATGGCAGTCCTTAAAGAGGGATGAATCAGTTTAGCTCCATGTTATGCAAGATTCCTATGCTTGGGATTTTCCCTAATTTCGTTTCCCCTGATATTAGCAAAGGTGCACAGCCATGGTCAGGAGCTTTCCGGAGCTTTTTGGCTAGATGCCACAGGAATGGGAACAAGAAATGTAAGGGTAACAGTCTGGCTGTGCTGAATCATTTTGGCCCAAAGAGGCCATCCAGAATCTGCTCCCATAGCTGCCATAGGTTGGGAAGGAGCATCTGAACACCTCCAGGGCAGTGTGGAGAGAAATGCTCTCTACTGGCCCCAGGCTTGTTGACAGATGCAGGTGAGTGCTCAAATGTTGACTGCAGTGTGATAAAAATATATTCTTGCAAGAGCAACACATAGCAGTGGAGCAACAATGAAAATAAATTTATGATTTAACATTCTACACCGTGTTCCTTGCCCTTTGGACATTTGCTTGGTGAAGACACGAGAGCAGGATGGTCTTTCTCAATAGTGGCATTCAAATGATGGGGCCTCTGAGACAGACTGGTTGGCTTCCTCTCCCTTGGGTTTAACAAGAATGTCATCTTCACCTCTTCATTACTACTTGTATTACTCTATTTAGGGATGAAAAACTTTGCTGATTTTATTTTTGCATATGAAAGTGTTGTCACTGAGGGATGTGGCTACTAGATTTCAAAAATATTTTTAGGGTGAGAAGATTGCACAACATTCTGCACAAATATCTTTCGTATTTTGTACTAAGACAGTACTTTGTCCATAAAAATGTATTTTTACAACACACAGTATTTTTTGCACTTTGGGTATGTGAAAGTGTGCCCTCTTTGCCTTTCCTTTCTCAGTGGGACTGAATCTTGCTTATGCTGAAATGCGTCTGTAAATTAAAAGAGCATTGGAGGTCAAAAGGCTTTGCATTAACAGGAGGAGATGGGAACAGAAAGAAGAAGAAGAGGCAATGAGACCATGCTGCTGTTCATGCCCTTAACATCATACAAATCATCACTCTCACCTTCTGCTCTACACATCTATGTGATCAAGGTTTTCAGATTGCATAGAAACATACAGATGTCAGTGTCCAATTATTCAGATATCCATGTGCCATGTCAGCTGTGAAATGTCTAAATCCCCACAATGTCTTCTTTGCATGGAGGGTACTTTTATATAGAGAGAATATAGTGCCACTGCCATTTTTCTTTGTTTGTTCATGAAAGTTCAGGAGGTGGAGGAAAAAAATTCTTACTGTCAAACATATCTAATGGAACAACAAAATCTAGAATAATGATTTTGGGCAGAGCAATCTTGTTGGGCAGAATGACCCTATTTTGGATGTTATGCAAAAACAGTACCTCCTTGTACTATCACTTTCCCCTGAGCTCACAGTGGCTATTGTGTGGCACTGAGGCATAGCTTTGTCTCCAAAATAAATTGCTATTGAAATGCTGAGAGGACTTCCAGGAATACTCACTCTCTTGTGCTGTTGCCTTGTGCTGGTAGCCAGCACCTTCTTAGACCTCCTTCATAATTATCCTGGCAATCGTTACTTTACCAGCATCAAATATGATCTCATCTTATGCATGTTGGCTTGGGCTTTTTCATGTGACTTTTTCCTGTAACAGTAGCTCCACAAAATAAGATTTATTTATTTTCAAGGGGAAGCTTCCCCACTTAATGATGTCAAAATACATATGCAGAATCAATCAAAATATAAATGTTTTGAGGATAAATGAGCATAATTTTGTTTTACCCGAACCAGTAAAGCCCACTTGTACTGGGGCAAAGCAGATGTGGGGCTGGAAACAAATGGCATATTTGTAAGAGACTGAAGGATATCTCCAGAAGAAACCTTGGAGCATAATATGTCCCCTTCTATCACCGCTAACAGCTCTCCATGCAGTCATGCCGGCCACGGGACCTCGGAGGCGTCTACAGATAATGCTGGCTCTGGTTTAGAAATGGAGATGAGCACCACCACCCAGAGTCAGACTCAAGCCAACTTCATGTCAAGGAGAAACCTTTACCTTTGCTACCACCACTTTGAATGGCTCTCTATGCTGCCTCCAATGCACTAGAGTTTGGGTTTGAACACTGGAGATGAACTAGTACACTTCTTTTGCTTTTGAATTTTTTCAGAGTACCCTTGTTCAATTCTATTTCCACATCAGATCTACTATTTTTGAAAGATCTGGACGAACATGCTTATGTATGCTGGTGCAAATTTTGGTTTCCTGTGTGTGTATATAACCCATATGTACTTTCCTCCAATATGCTTTATTTCCAAAAAATTTCCATTCATATATTATTTTGGGTTTTCCTTAATGCACACATTTGTGTATGCATTTTTAACTGAAAGCCTCCATTGCAAAATTCAGAAATGTGTGAAAAAACAGAGGAGTGTGTGCTGGTTCAAGAAATGCAAATTAAGTCAGTCGCTATTAAAATGGGAATCAAATTTATCCCCTCCTCCACCCATCAAGCTTTGCATGATCATAACATCCTGCCATTTTAAGTAGATAGCTGTTTTCTGTCTTTAGCATATTTTAGCACTGAAACGTTTTTAGCATTATGTTCTAGCATTTGTATAATTAATAGGGAAAAGGCTAAAATTCTGTCTGCCCACTGGGACTTTTTTTGTTCTGAAATCCTTAATAGTATACCACCCCACTGACATCTAAATGAAAAGATTTTAGAATATTGCTTTTTTGTCGTTCTTCTAGAAATGAGCTTGGAATCTAATGTGACACCAATCTCTGCAGGGTCCTGCAATTTATTAACTCTTCATAGTTTTCAAAAGAGCATTTTATTTCCAAGATGCATATGAAACTACACGTTATCATCATTGTCGTCTTTCTTTAGGAGTCAAGGAGGAGGAAGGGAAGAGGTATTTAGCAAACCAGGAGGCCCTGAAGGCAAGAGATGTCTGATTGCACTATCAAAGGAGATTGCAATGGGCATATTTATTCTCACCCCTAAAGGGAAAGCATCTGGTAATTCAATCTAACTATTGTGAAACAGCTTTCATTAGCAATGATTCATGATAAAGCCAATGCAACAGCTAGATGTGCTTTAATGCCATGCAAGATTCAACATATTTACGAGTGCCCAACATTGCATTTGATTAACTGTTAATCATAACTCATTGGTGGCTGAAGATAAAAACCTCCTTTCTTTGGACAACAAATCTCAGAATCCTCTGGCCAGGATGAATGATGACCAGGCTAATTAGGGAAGTTCTAAGTGTAGCCATCCTTAAAAAAGCAGGTTTTCCAAACTCACCATAAATGAGCTCAGTGTTATGTAGGAAGTCTACATCTCTTCCCAGCGAGTAAGTCCTGTTCTGTCATTTTTCCGAATGAAGCAGAGAGTGTTTGAAGACTGGGACATCTGTAGTTATACCAAGGTGTTGGTTTATAAAGCTAATGTCCTCCCAACCCTGCTATACGCCTGCGAGATGTGGACTGTCTACAGATGTCACATGCAACTCCTGGAACGATTCCATCAGCGCTGCCTCCGAAAAATCCTGCAAATCTCTTGGGGAGACAAGTGGACAAATGTCAGCATGCTGGAAGAAACAAAGACCACCAGCACTGAAGTGATGGTCCTCCACCATCAACTCAACTGGACCGGCCATGTTGTCCAGATTCCCGACCACCGTCTC